TGGACAACATTCATTTAAAATTTTCATCTAAGAAAGTTTCAAGTAAGAAACATTTCAAAATTTTACACGATTACTAAGAACGCAATTTTCTTTTTTACATAAGGTGAATGGCGCAGAGAATATACTTGCACTTAAGTACAACAAGCGTACCCTTTTTTAATTTCTTCGGACTTAAGCACGATTTTTTTTCTTCTTAAAATTAGGTAATTAATCTTAAGGAGAATGGCCTTCTGATTACTTAGTTCTATTTTCAAAAGTGAGTTTTGGAAGAATTTATTTTTAAATTAAATTAGCTGAAACAAATTATTCTGATGCGAAAAAAAATCAAAATAATTCCTGACACTGTGAAAGGTTCCAATCAAATTACGGTAAAAAATACCGGCACTCTGGCTGTCAGTACTTTTAACTGTATAATCCTCTTTTACCAGAAGAGGTTAAGGATCAAAATTTCTGATATACTGTAATTTTTTCAGTAATATTTACCGTAAAGTCACTGAATCACTCTAATTATATAAATATTACTATAAAAATTGCTATACAATATTTTACGGTCAAAATAGATTTTCCGGATGATACACCCAATATGCTGGTACTTAATCCCTTAATTTGATCCAAAATTTTTTACAGTGTACCACATTCCTGGAAAAGATTAAAATTTCATCTACACAGCAGATAGCGCTTTTTTTAAACGACGTGCATTGAATTTAATAATATAAAGTCGACGGGAAAGGTTAGAAATAATTTAAGTAAAAACCAAAATATTAATTAAATTTGATTTTGATTAAATGTGCCTTTAAGTATTTTGAATGGTTGCGTAAAGTTCAATTATTGATTTATTAAATATTTACCATTGTTTTATGTTGTACGAAGAATGCGTATTTAGCTAATTTATGGCAATTACTTAACAGTAATTAAAATGCTAAAAAGTGTCATATAGCCTGGTAATCACACAATAATCTAAAAGTGACTAAAGATTTATTTGAAACACTTTAGGGAATATGAATGATTACGAAAACAAGAAGAAAAAAAATTAGAGGTCTTCTGTGTGTTATTAGTTTCACCGATCTCGATTTAATCTGATTGTAAACATCGCATTAGATCTGCACTGTATAAATATTAGCAATAATCTGAAATACATTCTCAGAAATGGTTCGAAGGCATTAATAGAGTAGGCATGCATGACACTTCCACAATTATATGATCCGGGTAAATTGCATGGGAAAAACCCTCGTCTCCACACCACGTTCCTCGACCATGCACGGATTTTTTCGTCTCTTAAACCTCAAATAAAACTAATTAGAGTGTATTTTGAATCATTACAACACGATCTGAGGAAATCTTATCAGATCGCTAGCCAAAGTCTCATCACAATGTATCGTCTCTGATGCTGATGATTTTAAAAACATAGTTACAAAAACTAAATTCAAGTATGTTTTCTTTAATAACATCAACAATGTTTAAAAAAGACAAACGATTAGAAACTAGTTCTTTTTTATATTCATGAAGATAAAACCTTTTAGAAAAAAGTAGAAAAAATTACTATTTTTGTTACTAAAATTATGATATCGTCTGAAATATTTTAAAAACTCGGCTGACTTTTCAGTGACGTTTAATAACCATTTCATGGTCAACCGATTGAGAATGTCGTTCGGTTCCGCATAATCGATATTCTATTTAATCAATTTAAGAGATTACAAGTGTTTTCTACAGAGTCGTGCATTCCATGAGCTTATTTTAGAAGAAGTGAAAAGAAAACATTGTTTCCACGTCTCAATTATTCTTTTGATGTGCACGAAAGATAGTAAAATATAGAGAATTGAGGAAGTAAAAAGAGAATTCATGAAAGTGAATTAGATGAACCGTGAAAATTATTTATTTGGCACTTTGAGAAGTGAACCGTTTCTTAGTTCATTGTTTATCTTAAGATCTCTTTTTCTTTTCTTTTTCAATTACATCTTTTCTTTAATAAGTAATGATAAAGCTTGTAAACCGATTTTTTTTTACTGATTCATCCTACACCTAATTTCACTGTTTAGTTGTAAAAAAAGGAAACAATCTTCATAACTTTCGATTTATTGATCGGATTTTTACGTAGTAACGCACAATATTTATGAAAGACCTTAAATATGTTAATTAATTTGTGCTGTCAAAATTTTAAGTAACACAATACTAGAAAGGTGAAGGTGCAATATAAAGAAATGTACCTTCAGTTTTTTTGAATAAATCCGCAATTTTCGTGACACATTTCACCCTCAGAAGAAGGATTGAGAGATTGAGCTACAATTGTTGAGTTTATTTTTAGCATATTTGAACGCAAGATAATCTGGTAACAAATTCAAACCACCAAGGAAGGATTGAAAGTTAGAGCTTTTAAGTGTTAATTTTGTTTTTAGCATATTTTGTACGAAAACCCTTTTTTAACGGATTTTGTCCTCACAGGAGGGACTGAAATTAAATTTATGTTTAACTTACATATTTCACCCCATCTCTGAAGCTATTAACGCGAATAGGAAAAAAGCGATAGGTAAAATTACTCACAGTTTTCTTCCTAAACTAAAGGATTATATTTTCCAGATTACGGCTCCTCCCTCCTTCCCCTATTTAAAAACCAAAAGCCTGAATCAAACAAAATAAAAAGTAATGTTATTCATTGAAAGTAGGTTTTCATGCCTAATTTTGTATCGTGAACTGTTCTTATCAGTCAACATATTTTAGATATGCTCCTCAAACCATGAATATTGAATTTAAGTGTGTGAAGATTCGATCATTATTTAGTTACTTAATAAAGTCATTAAATAAGGAGGTTTTAATTTATTCCTTTTTGCGTATAGATGACACAGCACAATCGTAAAATCTAAATTTCAAATATTTTTTTATTTTTTACTAAGATTTCTATTTATTTATGAAATTAACTTACATAGAATATTATATTTATAAATATATCGCATTTCAAAGCAAAAAATCGAACGATTCTTCTCCGATTCTCACAGTCGTAATCTTCTATTTGGACTTCAAGATCGTTTAGAATGTACAAGTTCACTAAGATTTCCATTTATTTATGAAATTAACTTAGGTAGAATAACATATTTACAAATATATCGCATTTTAAAGCAGAAGATCGAACGATTTTCCTCCGATTCTCACTGTCGTAATCTACTATTTGGAAGTCAAGATCGTTTAGAATTTACAAGTATACTAAGATTTCTATTTATTTATGAAATTAACTTACATAGAATATCATATTTATAAGTATATCGCATTTCAAAGCAAAAGATCGAACGATTCTTCTCCGATTTTCACAGTCGTAATCTTCTATTAGGACGTCAAGATCGTTTAGAATGTACAAGTTAAAATGCTTTAAATCTTTTTCTGCAGCTTCGGAAGTTATGGATTCATGTTAAAACAGCGACCGCATTCTAAACTCAAAAGAAAATAATAGACGTTGTCACAATGAAATACAGAAACAACTAAACTAAACCGTGATTATTGAAAATTTCATCAAAAGAAAGCAAATGTACCAGCAAATCAATGAAAGTCTAAAAATGTTATTCTCATACAATAGTTGCGACTCATATGTTTTACGCTTAAAAGAATATTTCAGCATTAATTAATTTTTTTAAAAAAAAATTACTTTAAATTTATTTTTTCGCTTTTCTTGAGGCACCCTTTATTTTATCGCAGATTTATTTTTACCGTTTTGAATACAAATTAAGAGCAATTCTCATAATTTTTAATCTTTCACTTTTAACCATTTGTTCACAGAGTATTATTGAATTTAAAGTTTCAGAACTCTTTATAAATATATAAGTATTTGTCATTCACTGTTAGGAAACGCCATCATTAGCATTAATTTTTCTTTTCGCAAAAACAAATCGATTTTTTTTAATCTACAACTTACCAATTGACCGACATTAAAATGTTCGTAAGCACAAACAAAAATAAATATAACCCCATTCTTAAACACATTGTTTGGAAGTTTTCCATTAATTTTCAATTTTTTAACCAGCTTTTAAAAAATATATTTCAAAAGACATTTTGTATTATCATTACTTTTGGAACATTATTCGAAACATATTACATAAACAGGGATAAAATAAATAACTCGGTTACATATAATGCACAATAACTTTGTATTTCTAACTTTTAAGAAACATGAATATTATTATCTGTAACATTACCACTTTTGGCTTCAATGCAAAGCTGCAGACGCGTTACAAAATATTTCGCTAAAGACCTCAAAACACCTAATATTTTGTCCCACTTCTTGTTCATGTATTTTTTTAAGGATACCACATTCATTTAACGCGTACCACATTCATATAAAGTTAGCACATTCACAAAATCTTGTCTCCAATATTGATCGAATAGGAAGATCTATTGGATTCAAGTCAGGTGACTAAAGATGCCATTCTTGAGTGGTACGAAAATCAGAAAAATGTGGTTGTTAACCATTCTGGATTGCCTTTAGCTCCATATATATCACAATCGAAAACTGTTTTTTTTAATTGTGTTGTAATCTCGTTTTTAAATCATTAATAGAAACTTTGAACTATTCGAATTCTATTAGTACTTTTTACTTACCATACTTTTGAGCATACAAATGTGAAACATGCAAATGTGCTTGCTAACTCAAATTCATAGTGAAACAATACGCCACATTGGTGACCATATTACACAATGGTGACCATAAGAATGCATTTTGTTCTTTCATAATTAGAACACAATATTTAACAGGAATTTAATGTGGGTATCAACAAACACGTAACTTTTTGTCTGACCCATTAATTTATTATTACTTTTGTACTGTCATGAAGCTTTTAGAACATAAAATAGTATACTTTTATTTGCTTATTACAATTTGTGTTTGATTTGAGTGATAATTAGGTTAATTAAACACTGGGAAAAGTATTTTATCTTCATCGGCATTTTAATGCTTTCTTTTTTTTGAAATTTACATTGTTGTAGTAAAAATATGAGATTTATATTGAATTTATTTACAGGTCTACAGATTAATCCAAATCCCCGAATATTAAGAAAAGACGTACGATATGGAAGACCAGTCCTTGCAATGGCAAACTCTCCAAGTAATTTTTTCTTATTCAATTTATGTGTAAAACTTTTTAATTATATCGTCTTTTAGCTATTCGTAAGTATAATTTCATTAAACTTAATCAGAATCTGCTTATCTACTTGGAAAATATTTAATCATATATTGTGCAATGTATTGTAACCTAACCTGACTTAAGAATGTAACCTAAAGTTGAAACAAAAAAGAATTCTATTGATACTTTTTAGTAGTTTCTAGTAGTTACAATCCAGCAATTCAAAAAATAAGCTGTGTTTATAACATAATTTTCTCAACCAAATTCGCATAGAAAAAATACTGTATAAAGGAGAATAAAATGTCTACTTAGATCTTGAAGAATTAAATAATCACAAATTAAAATGAACGGAATTTTAGTATAGAAGAACGGGATTTTAGTATAGTATAGAGTTCTAATCGAAATTATTCATTCAAAATTAAAAAATACTTACCAAGAAAATGATGAAAAATTATTAATAAGCAACACAAATTATATTACTTCAAGTAATTAGCTTTGTTGTTTTCCGAATTATATAAATTCAGAAATATATACTATTCTGTAAAAAGGAAGAATATTCTGTAACTATTACAGTTCTGCAAGTTCTGAAATCACATTTATTCTCTGGAATGAAGTAAGCAATGTTGACTTCACTTTAATTTGTAATGAATTGAAGGAGAAAAATAAATTTTCCGTAATACACACATCTGTAACAATATGCGATCACGAAATCGGAAGTAATCGGTTGCAAGTTTGTTGATAATAGAAAGGTAAAAATTATGGAGAAATTGTTCTTCAAATGTTGGGAGCGTTCTGCTTCAGACAGTTTTACCAATGTTCTGGGTCGTTTTTTTTTTCAAGTTCTTCGGCCTTTTCTTTAGGGAAATTTTGCTTCTTATCTGTTGCTAAAAAATGACGCCCTTTTCTAGCAATGTTTCTGATAGAACTAAATGAAAACTTAATAAATAAAATCCTGAAAACATACTATCCACTAGAGGGCGTGTTCAAGCGTTTTGATCGTGAATTGATAAAGCTAATAGCATTTAAATTATTTAAAATGTATAGGCTTGTAATATTAGTTTTCTGTTATTTTTAAATTTTTGATCTTGTTTATTAAAGAAAATTAACACTTGTTATTTGCTACTTTAATTATTTTATTAGGTAGTCTTGCTTTAATATTAGACTCCAGTGACAAAATTTGGTGAAGATCTTATCAATTGAAAATTATGTTTCTTATGTATTAAAGTTTATAAATCTTATTTATTAAGGAAATTTTGGCTACTCTACATTTCGGGGACATGTTTGGACTATCGCAAAGTTGGTAGCTGGAATGGCCATCTTGTTTAATCTATAGAAACCACAGTATTTTGAACTGCATCTCGATTTGTTTTTATGATTTAATTACGTTTTTGTGTTATGTTATGCAGTTTTTTTAATGTTTTAATGATATTTTATTGCCTTAGAACGAATTGACGATTTTCGCCAAGGCTCACCTCGAAGTATATTTTTCCGGAAATTTTGGTTGAGACTTTTTAAACATTTTGACCATAAGATAAATAATGCAGAACATCCTTCAAATGCGATTCCCATCCTTGAAAGAAAAACACTTAAAAACTTAGTGATGAGATTTTCGGGAAATGATTTTGAACATGGTAGAAATTCGTTCAAAGAATCTCTCTCCCAGAGCCCATCCTTCATGCCCGAATGTCACTTGAACAAGATGAGGTCGAATGATTGCACAGTAGAGCATGAAAATAACGGACACAAATTCCATCCTCTCTTGATTTTAGATTTTTTTTTCTCAGCCTTAAGGTAATACAAAATAATCAGTGGAAAATGATGGTGAAGAGTTCGTCTTCGAAAATGTAACATTGTAAAAAGCCTTCATAAACTTTAGAAAAAAATGATAATGGTAAAAAAATTACTTTGAATAACTTGTGGATTAATAATCAAAATTTTATACCATCTTCGCAATCAAAATGCCGAATACAATTTGTAAATCATTAATTGCACTATGTAAGTAATGAAATTTCCATAACTTGAAAATTCCTCGAAAGCGGAAAAGTCGTGAATTATTAATTGCACTATGTAAGTAAAGAAATTTCTATAACTCGAAAATTCCTCGGAACCCAAAAGCTGTGAATTATTAATTGCACTATGTAAGTAATGAAATTTCTATAACTCGAAAATTCCTCAGAACCGCAAAAGCCGTGAATTGCACTATGTAAGTAATGAAACTTCTATAACTTGAAAATTCCACGGAACCGAAAAAGCCGTGAATTATTAATTGCACTATGTAAATAATGAAATTTTTGTAACTTGAAAATTCTTTGGAACCGAAAAGTCGTGAATTATTAATTGCACTATGCTAGTAATGAAATTTCTATAACTCGAAAATTCTTCAGAGCCGTGAATTATTGATGATTTGACTAAATGGAAAAAAACTGAATAAAACATGTTGTTATATTATGAGAACAAGCGCAATCGTTAAATGCAAACAAGACAAAAAAAAGTTCGTTAAGATTGACCCTTTTTCCCAACATTTTGTCATAAATATTCCGATATCCCCCGACAGAATAGACGTGTGTTTGAAGTGAAGACCTTTAGGGCAATATAACGATAAGCCAGGTTATGAAAATTTGGGGTAAAATAATTTGTTTTGGGGGGAAAAGACTACAATTTCCTTGCAAGTAAGAAGACGTGTCTGTACATTGAGCTGTTGCCTAGAAAAAATTCCAAAAAGTATTTATCTAGAAACAATACCAAAGAACTCAAAGAGGTGCTACTTGCATGACCATATACCTGTAATGCAGTTTCAATTAACTAAGCTAGAAAAAGAAATTGCTAACTTCCATCTCAAGGTACCATTCAAGGGGGTGCAGTTGGTAAGAAAAATGAAATAACCAGACAGTTCAATTTGCTGCAACAGGCAAAAACAACAAAAAAGAGTGTTATTTTGAATTTATACTTTCATATTTTTTAAACCATACCCAAATATATATTTAATTTAAATATTATTGGCTTCTTTAATATTATTTCCAGATAGGTACTTTATAGTTCCTCGAATTCACACCTTTTTTTTGGCCTGCATGTTCTTAAAATGCACATTTTTAAACTATTACATTTCCCCAAGCCCCTTAAAAATAGAGAATTTACGCAAAATTTCCTTCAAAAGATATCAGGATAAAAAGTTCAGAAAGTATAGCATTTTACTAATCTCTTAATGTTATAATTTCTTTAACCTCTTAATGGTCTCATAATTTTGAAGGTAACGGCCATAAAAGTGCCTAATTTGTTTATTCAAGAAAATAATATAAAACCTAGTATGCGTTCAATATATGTATTCATTTATAATTTTTGGGGGAATTTTTAGCTTACACGTTTGATAAGTGCTGACATTTACCTTAAAACACACTAGCTATCTCTAAACACATTACAAATAGTCTGGTACTGACATCTGGTGTATAGATAGAGAAATAAACATGATTCCGTGCATAAGAAATAGATTGTTTTAATCTTTTTGGCGTGTTCTTTTAACACTCCAGCCCGGAAATATCACGTGAAAATACCACATGTTAATATCACGTATTCTACATAATGTTCAACTCCGAAGTCTTGTAATTTGAACCCAACCCAGTTGACAAGTGAACTCCTGAATCAAGTATTGGGACAAACTAGCCTTCGTTTAAGATTTTTTTGATGAAACTAAACCGTGTTTTCATACTACATGTAGAGATACTCCATGAAAACGGTTACTTCTTCGGCAAGTGCAGTCTAACACATGATCTGTCTACCTCCGAAGATATTTTTTGTCAGAACAATGGTCGATGCGAACCATAAACAGAATACGTATAGTTCAGCCATCGTTGGGTTAAAAAATTAGATCATTTCATTGGGAGCGCGAGTGCTCCATCAACATCTCCTCTATGAAAAGAGGCCTTTGCATGGATTAATTTGGTTGTCCGAAGTAATAAACATAAACTGCGCATAGAGAAAAATAAGAAAAATGTCATAACGTTTGGGCAATCAAACTGCGCAGTGGGAGAAAAAACCTTATATACATTAACTCTTTGCTTACGGTTGGTACAATCAGTGGAGCAGAATGGCCTCATCATACTAATAATAAAAGAAAATAACAGAGAAACATTCCTTAGCAAAATAAAAAAGGACTTTAGGAAGGAACTTTAGGAAGGAACTTTAATTTTTATATTTTTTAATATTATTCCACAAAATGATACCACATACTATTTCATATGCTTTGAGACTGTCACGTTTATAGTTTCGCTTTCGCTTTTTTAATCACAAGCAATTCGAATTTAGTTTCAAAATAGCAATAATAGTCTGTTCATTGGTTGTTTTTAGTGACTATTCATTGCAGCTATTTCTTTTCATAATCGATGCAGTGAATCAGTTATGCGTGATTCAGAAGAATTCAGCAATGCGGATTTCAGCTATTGAATACATCCAGGCACAAACCTAGATATTAAGGTCCATAAAAAGTCAGGCATCGTTTACCTTTGTCACAATAAATCCTTTCTTTTCAAAAGGCGAGAAAAAACTCAAAGAAAGAGAAATTTTAAGTTTTTTTTTTCCTTTTCTTTTTTTGCACTTCTTTATTGATTTTTGATATCAAGTGAGAAAAGGTATTCATCAAAACTTCAACTAAAGTGAATCACCTTTTAAAACGGATTGACTTATTTACCTTTTGAGTTTCATCTATTTTTAAAAGGTAATTCTAAAATAAATTCTTAACATTCTTAACAGCAAAATATGAATGAATCTTGAATAAGTTGAATCTTAAATATAACTACGAGAAATAAAAATTGAACAACTTTTGATTGAATGAAGAAAGATTGATTTAAGAAGATTGATTTTGATATACGAAGATTAATTTTGATTTAAGAAGAAATAATTAATGCTCCTGGAACCCAAATACATCTCGGAAAAGGTGGCAAATGTTAAAAAAAATACAGCGCACAAAAAAAAGAAATATAATTTTTAAAAAAAACGAAACACTTGAACAACTTTTGTTTCAAAAATGTCATAAAAATATCTGCCAACCCTTCCGGTTTTCCCGAGAGATTTTATTTTCATATTTAAAGTAGTAATAGCTATATACTATTTTTTCTTTTATAAACTTAATTTTTAAATGATTTTGATCACCACTATTCTTGAACAAGTTATGGNGCCTTCAAACAGAAATAACTCTTCGAATTGTAAGTAAACAATTAATGAAGAATTCAGCAATGCGGATTTCAGCTATTGAATACATCCAGGCACAAACCTAGATATTAAGGTCCATAAAAAGTCAGGCATCGTTTACCTTTGTCACAATAAATCCTTTCTTTTCAAAAGGCGAGAAAAAACTCAAAGAAAGAGAAATTTTAAGTTTTTTTTTTCCTTTTCTTTTTTTGCACTTCTTTATTGATTTTTGACATGAAGTGAGAAAAGGTATTCATCAAAACTTCAACTAAAGTGAATCACCTTTTAAGACGGATAGACTTATTTGCTTTTTGAGTTTCATCTATTTTTAAAAAGTAATTCTAAAATAAATTCTTAACATTCTTAACAGCAAAATATGAATAACTTCAAAATACAACTCAAAACATTTTTTATATGCATGTAATCTACAATGTATAAATAATTTGCTCTTTTTTTTTTATTTATGGAAAAATGCGAAGTTGAATTTTAAATATAACTGCGAGAAATAAAAATTGAACATCTTTTGATTGAATGAAGAAAGATTGATTTAAGAAAATTGATTTTGATATACGAAGATTGCTTTTGATATGCGAAGATTGATTTTGATTTAAGAAGAAATAATTATGCTCCTAGAACCCAAATACATCAAGGAAAAGGTGCCAAATATTAAAAAAAATACAGTGCACAAAAAAAGTAATAAAAAAAACGATACACTTTGACAACTTTTGTTTCAAAAATGTCATAAATAGCTGCACACCCTTTTATTTTAATATTTAAAGTGGTAACGAAACTCACGTTATTCCATTAAACTTTTTAAATTATAGTAATAATTATAAATGAGTTTAAACACCACTATATATAAAATATTACAACAAATATATAAAATCATAATAATCTTCACGATAGCGAATTTCTACCTGGTCAAAATATAAATATGTTTTTGAGTAAGATTGTTTTTCGATAATTGTTTAACTACTACTTGGAAAATCCACTCTTCGAAGGAGTAAAACTTTCCAGGTAGGCATGTATTTAAAATTCGATTTCTCTAGAACAATTTGGGATTTTAATAAGATTTGTTTATTTGTCAATTATATTATAAAACTATTTTAATTCAAGTTTTTATTAAATATTTATAAAAGGTATACCTTTTATGTAGTTTCCCCGCATCAGCCGAATTCGAGTTAGAAAAGATTAACACGTTGAATGCCACACTAATTTTACGTGGCTTGCCCGTCTGGCCAAACGGTAAATAACTACAAACTAAATTTGCAAATATTGGACAGATTTTGCTAGTTTTTTTAAAGGTTTAGCATGACATATCTGAAAAAAGTGGTGAATTATATAAGCCTACGAATTGTTTAGAAATAATGGTGGATAAAAATCTACTAAATTGAATTTATTAAACCAAGAATCACAATTAATAAACTACCACTTGAAAATATTTATTCACTGTCCGGAGCAAGTTGGTATCTCTGTGCATATGAAGAAAACTATTTTTGTGTGTTCTATATTGCATTAATCTCTTCAAACCATTTTAGTAACGATAATAATATAAGAAAATTAAAAATTTACTGGAATTATGTGTTTCTAATAATCTTGACTTCGCCGGTCACCGGTGGCCCCCGTAGCGCTACGATCAGTGTCGGTCACCGGTGATCCCCATGGCATTCAACGTGTTAATGCTATAATATTTCATCAGGTTGCACATTCAACGGGATAGCAGTTGAAGATGGAAAAAATGTAGCGAGTTCAGAGCCTTGCTTAAATTGCACTTGCAATAAAGGTATATTACTGTGTTATCTTCGCACATGCAACACAGTGGTGGCACCACCCGGATGCAGGACTGTCCGCAAGACTGGAGAATGTTGCCCAACGCTTGATTGCCCCGGTATTTATAGATTTTTTTTAACTTATAAATTTTCAAAATATCTGTATGAATCATGGTTATAGTCGGCATTGGCGTAACTATCACGCACAATCTGCAACAAAGTAAACAGAATTCTCATATTTATGCCTTATCGTGTGAAAAATTAATTTTAAAACAGTAATATAAATTTATGTATTGAGAATTAGATTACTTTTAGTATGCTTTATGCAATAGGTTATAATAAAGTCACAGGAAATAAATAAGTAATTATAAAAGGTAGAATAATATCATACCATGCCGAAGGTTAACAAATGGAGAAAAAAAAGGACGGAAAAGTACTTCTTAAACTTAGTATTAATTTTGATATTTTATGTAAGTTTATAAAGTCAGTAATAAATTTTTCGAGATCTGCCGGCTTATATTTTGAAATATTTATGTTTCCTTAACCATTTTTAATTATCAAAAATACTAAAAAGCTTGAGTTCTTATCCTGTATTCCAATTTTAGTATAAAATGAGTATCATTTTTTGAAAAAAAATTACTTCAAAATCAACTGTTATTTATTCATTTAACCTTTCTTTAATATTAAATGAGACTAAAGCACCTCAATTCTTATAAGTTACTCTCAATATTTATTTTTCTTACTTATTTGCATAGAAAACTTGCTATTTTTTAATTTTTTTTAATTATTTTATTTCACACTTTTTTTAATCTTAGGTTCGTCAAGTTTTTAAAATAATTGTGCTTAATTTCTCTCAATATTTTTTCATATTTATTAACCTTATAAGGCTGACAGGCTTATATTGTCTTTTTTATATATTTCTTTTCTGACTCTCTAATTGCAAGCAAAAATATATTTCTGTATTTTTTAAATATGGAAAACAGTTTAATAGTAACTAAAAAATCTGTTAGATTATATGAGTTATATTTCTACTAAAATCCGAAAAATGCAGTTAAATTTTTTTAAATTCTTATTCGAAAATTTATCAATAATTTATTCTGTAAATTAAAGAAATTTTAGTTATGAATGATTGTTTTTCTTAGATCTAAATAAATGCAAACTTGAAAAATTATTGTTTGGAAGTGAGTCACGTTTGGAAGATTTTACCTTTAGCGCAGAGAAAGACACCGATGTTTCTTGCTGTATTTTATAGCCACTAATTATTAAAATGCTAAGTATAATATTTGTCAATTATTTTGACCTAAATTTATACAAAAGAATGAAAAGAAGTATGAAAATTATAGCTATTTTTACAAGCAGAGTTTATTTATTAAATTGAAATTGAAAAATTTTAGATCCAATCAGCTCGAATTACTACCAAACAGAAAAAACGGTGGAACCATTTCACAAATTCCGACTTAGGAACGAAGGTGGTGACATCTTTGGACTACCTAGCTTTGATTCAAGAACAGAAAGATTAACAACAACTTCAGTGAATAAACCAGCTTCTATGAAACTGACGAGTCAGGAAAGTTCGCCAACGTTCACCGCTTTCTTGAAGAGCATATCCAAGAACAGGAGAGTGGATCCCGAAGAACAATCTCATTACATCCAAGAAGAGCATTCTGATTTTGATTCGCCTTCAAACAGAAATAACTCTTCGAATTGTAAGTAAACAATTAGTTAAATTCCCTATTGTTTTCTTTTTTTTAAAAATTCACCACTGCACCAATATTTTCTTATAATTCACAGCTGTCACCAGTACTCGAAATTTACCAGTGTGCCACACTATGTGTGTATTTTTAAAATGCCTCTCTATGTCATCATTATTTTAAATTTCAATCCTGTCACCATTTTGGAAAAGTCGCAACTTCTGAAGACTCATATCACCATTTTTTAAAAGTCATATTTCGTGAACAATGAAATAACCTTTTTTCAAGGCTCGTACTTTGGGAGCAATCTTATCGCCATTTTTTAAAAGTCACATTTTGTGAACACTCATATCACTATTTTTTATAAGTCACATTCTGTGAACACTCATATCACTATTTTTATAAGTCACATTCTGTGAACATTCGTATTATTATTTTTTATAAGTCACATTCTGTGAACACTCATATCACTATTTCTTATAAGTCACATTCTGTGAACATTCATATCATTTTTTATAAGGCACATTCTGTGAACACTCATATCACAATTTTTTTTAAAGTCACATTTTATGGACACTCATATCAACATTTTACTCTGCAGTGAATTTTGAAGAGTAAACTTATAAAAAAATAAATGTCTTTTTTGTCAAACAAGTTGACATTTGTGGCATGCGCTTTTGAATTGTTCTAACTGTAGATATAACTCCATTAGAACTAACAACAAAACGAGCGTTACTAAAAGTATCCAACCATTCTCATATTCCTGACAACGTGTTATACACTATACTGGTGACTATATTGAAAGGTAGTGCAACTTGGAACATGCATCTTTTTTGTATCAGCTGTAATTAAACCTGTAAATAAATTTTTATCACTGTTAAAAATTTTAAAATTATGTTATGGAGGATTCCACCTGCTCATGACTGATACCAATAAAAACATCCTGGAGCTCCCTAGAGCTAAAGGACGATAGAAAATTACACTTTTATAAGTGATAAAAAACTTTTATAATTGCAAGGACAAAAGGAGTTTCCTGTGTTCCCCAAGTATAATTCACGCCAATCTAGTCCAAATCATTTGCTCTCCTGTTTAGAACTGGAGAAGAGTGATCTCTTTGAAAAGCCTGTACTGATTCATGACCTTGTGTAGGTGAACGTTCTTCTGAACTTGATCTAGCTACGGATAGGATCAAGTAGAATTTGAAACAACACAACACGGTTAAAATTCATAAACTGGTAACTTAATCTAATATTGAGATATTTTCTGTAGAGTATAGTTTTTAAGCAAAAAAATTTCACTTAAAAATATTTTTTTTAAAAACTTGACTTTCTACTTGAGGAAAAACGTTATAAGTGCTAGAACAAAAGGAGTTTCCTGTGTTCCCCAACTATAATTCACACCAATCTAGTTCAGACCATTTGCTCTCCTGTTTAGAGCTGGAGACGAGTGATCTCTTTGAAAAGCCTGTACTGGTTCATGACTTTGTGTAGGTGAACGGTCTTCTGGACTTAATCTAGTTACGGAATGAACGACAATGAATGACATGAATGGCAATGAAAGCAAATGACATTGATAGCATCCTTAAGCAACTTAAGCTTGCTTTGTTGCAAAATGATAACAATTCTTCTCTGAATACTTCGCCTCTTCCTATTTAATAGTTCAAAGCTGATATAACTTATAAGGAAATTAATTTTATATAGCATTAATGCCCTTAGTTTATTTATCCTTAGATTGAATTCTTCTCTTACAGCTGACTGCTTAGTTAAGGGATACAGATATACAGAAGGCACAGCAGTGCTCTCGCCGACTAAGTGTGAATACTGTTACTGTATCCGAGGCCAGCAAATGTGCGTCAGACCCAAATGCCATCTGCACATTGATGGTTGCATTGCGCAGTACCAAAGTGGATACACGTGCTGTCCTTCACATTACATGTGTGGTACGTAATGTTTTCTGTAACCTCTTTTGAACCGAAAATTTCTTCCTATTACTATATCTCTTTGTTACTGAATTCATGGTGAACAAATATATCTCAGACCAAAAAGTCGTCTTTACTGGGGTAACAAATACCATCAATATATATTGCTGTATCGGGCAATACTAAAATGGCTACACAACATGCTATTTTGGTATGCAATCTGCCACCTTTATTAATTCTTGACTCTTTCATTGTTCTTTTGCTTCATCACCATCGTTAAACAACCGACCCAATCTTGGGTTTACGACTACTGATGTTTAACTCCGTAGCCTCGTAATTTTGAACCAATCCAGCAGACAAGGATACTCCTGGATCAGTACCCCCAGAGGTATGAATTGTTATGGAAACATGGAGGACTTTGAGACTCGACAGATTTAATGTGCATCAGTCACCATTTACTACACCGGCAGTCTTCGGCCGGCGAGGATCGAACCCACGACCTATTAGACATGGGCCCAGTGCCCTACCAACCAGGCTATCCCGGCCCCCCTTTCATTGTTATTGTAGCAATTTAATTTTAAAGAAAAAGGTAAGAAACAGTAGACATCTTTTAAAAAAAACATTTAATAAAAAGTAACACAATTTTAAGGCTAATGCTCTATTAAACTACAACTTTTCAAACTCGTTTCCTCAGTTTCATATTACTCTTTTTTCCCTCTGTAATTGCTTTTTTTAAATGTACTGTTACATCTGATACGACACGAATTCTTATCTGTTATAAACATCTACTACAAAATAACTGATTTTAACTTTGGACCTTGAAATTCCTCTTAATTGAAGCAATAATATACTTAAAGCAATTAAGGCTGCATAAGCTTTTGCCAGAGAGGAAGTACTTTGATTTCTATTTTAACTATTTTCAAGATATATCCACGTTATTCTCTATGTATTCAATTTTAGTAATAATTCAAAATCTGTCAGTCAGTCATAAAACCACGCAAACCACTATTTGGAATTTTAGACAGTTCAGCATGGTAATCGGTAGAAGTACTAAAGAAGTGAAAAACTCATCCGAATGCTCCATCACGTGCTGAACTACTTCCTCACGCACCTCTCGATCATAACTTGAGTATCGTATTATATACACTGGTTATCATAAATTAAGGAAAATTCACAAAAATCGCGATAACTCTTTCAAAAGTAAGCCAAACCGTGCAAAATTTGCATATGTTGTCCACTAAGAGTAGCTGAGTAAAATTGCAATATGCAAATTAGTGGCGCTGCACTCGGCTTACGTCATCTGCCTGGAGCATAAAAGTCCAAGTTTGAGAGAAAGCACACAAATTTTACTGTGATTNAAATTAATTTTATATTGCATTAATGCCCTTAGTTTATTTATCCTTAGATGCAATTCTTCTCTTACAGCTGACTGCTTAGTTAAGGGATACAGATATACAGAAGGCACAGCAGTGCTCTCTCCGACTAAGTGTGAATACTGTTACTGTATCCGAGGCCAGCAAATGTGCGTCAGACCCAAATGCCATCTGCACATTGATGGTTGCATTGCGCAGTACCAAAGTGGATACACGTGCTGTCCTTCACATTACATGTGTGGTACGTAATGTTTTCTGTAACCTCTTTTGGCCCGCAAATTTTTTCCTGTAACTGTATCTCTTAGCTACTGAATTTATGGTGAACAAATATATCTCAGACCAAAATTTCGTCTTTACTGGGGTAACAAATACCATCAATATATATTGCTGTATCGTGCAATACTGAAGTGGCTACTCAACATGTTATTTGGGTATGCAATCTACCACCTTTATTAATTCTTGAATTGTTATTGCAGCAATTTTACTTTAAAGAAAAAGGAAAGAAACAGTAGACATCTTCAAGAAGAACATTTAATAGAAAGTAACGCAATTTTATAGCTAATGCTCTATTAAACTGCAACTTTTCAAACTCGCTTTCTCAGTTTCATATTACTCTTTTTTCCTCTGTGAATGCTTTTTTTAAATGTACTGTTACATCTGACACGATACGAATACTTATCTGTTACAAAATAATCTGTTATAAAATAACTGATTTCAACTTTGGACCTTGAAATTCCTCGTAATTGAAGCAATAATATACTTAAAGCAATTAAGGCTGTATAAGCTGTAGCCAGCTAGGAAGTACTTTGATTTCTATTTTAACTATTTTCAAGATATGTCCTCGTTATTCATCAATTTCAGTAATAATTTAAAATCTGTCCGTCAGTCATCAAATCAAGCAAACCACTATTTGGAATTTGAGACAGTTCAGCATGGTAATCGGAAGAAGTATTAAAGAAGTGAAAAACTCATCCCAATGCTCCATCACGTGCTGAACTACTTCCTCACGCACCTCTCGAATCATAACTTGAGTATCGTATAATATATATTCTAATGCTCGAAAAAATCAGGCTCCATCACCAATAATTGGCATGACAGTATGCGGTACGATAGCACTATTCGCGTATAAAAATTCTACAGCCATTTTAAAAGGGATCAAAAGTAAATCTAAATAATTACTTCGTAGCTAAATTTTTATTTCTATAAAAATTCTAATACATTCTAAAAAAATACTTAACGTATAACTAACTGCTCAACACTACTTAAACTATCATTTAACACCATGGAAAGCTTTTATTCTTTATTTTTTTTTCAGACACATCTCTAGCAGATTTATTTGATGAAAAGAAGGGACATCATCCCTCAGATATTAACAGCCAATCACAAGCCTCCAACAAATGTAAGCATTGAAAAATGTTTATAAATTGAACTTTTTTTTAATTTTTATGATAGATTTATATTCATTTCTAATTCACAATGTTTTCTGATAGCTTCAGAAATTACTATTTATTCTTATTCACTAAAAATAATTTAACTTCATTATTTCTCTATCAATAAAAAGCTAAATATAGACCAACAAATTTATCTTCTTGTTTCAATTATCCATTTAATCTTTTTTTTCTTTACAAAAAAGAATGAAATGTGGAGACACGACTGATGAAATATTAATTAAAGTTAAAACTAGCATCTTCAATTGAATAAAAGAAATTAAACACGCTAATAAAATGTTAGTGTTGACGATTCAGAAAGTGCCGTGTTAAATAAACGTTAATATCTGATTTTAAATAAACTGTTATAATGTTCAAATTAAAACACGTTATATCACATGATATGTATACAATGTTATATAATGCAAAAAAAAAACTCTAATGCTAAAGATGCTTTTAAGAATTCGAAATTGCACTAAAAAATTATTTGTGATATTTTCTATAAATCATTAGTCATACCATTGCCTATTATACCTAGTCAAGATTTAATTATAAAAGTCATTTGAAAATTATTATTTTAATATTGAATCAATCTTTCATTTCAATATTTAAAATAAACGTGAATCAACCAGCATGAATGAAAAAACTTTTGGAAATAGTTTCTTCTTTAGTTTGCAACGCAATGAACCAGAAACCGAAGAAACTTTGCCATTTTTTTCTTCTTAAATATAGTTTTTGGTAGCCTGATAAGTATCCATACAAAACAAGGAAGACAATTTTCTCTTCAATAAGGGATACACATATTCCCTTGTAAATCTGCCGCAGTACCAAAAATGATATTTTAAGACTCTGATAGTTAAGGAACACTATTTATATTTCCATAAATATAGTGTCCTATATAAAGTTGACAATATAATATAATCAAATATACAACTTTTTAACATAAATATAATTCTTGCATTTCGTTAGTAACCTCCTGCAATGTGGATGGTTACGACTTTGACGTTGGTGTTGCAGTACCGAGCAGAGGACATTGTCAAACATGTTACTGTACTCAGCTAGGAGTGGTGTGCAGACGACTTGAATGCTCACCTACTGTACCCGGATGCACCCCCATCGTACCGGATGGTCACTGTTGTCCAACTCAATACAAGTGTGGTATGATTTTTTTTAAAAGTAGATTGCAAAAACGTTAGATTTTGAAAACTGTAAGGAAACTTCTTAACCTGCGAGAGTGTTTTCTCTATTGATACAGATATAAACAAGACTCAAAATAGCTTTTCTTAAAAGTAGTGTTTAAGAGTCAAAAATTTTTTTTTTAATTAAAACATTTTATGAAAACCAGGATGATCTTTAATGACCGTTCGTAAAGTAGCAATAAGCGCTGTGACTTGGTTTTTTTCCCACCATTCTTTTTAGCTTTGATAATAGCCAGATTTACATTCTAAGGACAACTTTTAAATACATATACGTTTTTCTCTTTATATTATTTCCCAATGTAAACAAACGCAAAATAGAAATTTGTCAACCACATATAAGACCGTGGTAAGTACACTTACCTCCAATTTTAAAACTCTATGTTAAACTATTTTACCATTTTTAATCTGGGTCTCTATTTGTTAATAACTTTAACTTTGATGCAATAGGTTTGATTGAAAATGATATCCATATACCAGTTTTATAAACGTATAAAAAGTTATAATATGTATGATTCCTTTCGCATGTATACAATCCTTTGATTTTAATTATTCCATCGCTCTTCCCAACTCTTCCTTTAAGAGATAGTTGCTTAGAATTATTATTTTCTCCTCACTTAAATAATTATTAGCAACCCTTAACATGAATATTTTTAAATCATTTGTTACAAGGATTCTCTAAATTTTTGCTGTAAGCTAGTGTTGTACGCTGTTATAATGTAATCGTTTCCTTAGGTTTAGCCTTCAACATACACAACGCCGTCTGTTGGCCGTAAACACTCTAAAATAATTTTAACTTTGCATTTTAGCATTTCCTGAACACACTAAACCAGTTTCCATTACCTTCTTCCAATAGTTAATGTTTTGTAAGCAGTTTTTCAGAATGTTAACCAAATTATTTTCGAACCTATATTTTATAAAAATTATTTTAAATGCATTTTGAAATAGTAAAGTGCACCGTTTGTTTTTGTAGATCACAATAATGGAGATGAAATACCTGTCTCACACAGCACAGACGACTACGATGTCACAGTTCACTCTAGTACTGTAACAAAAGACGATGGCACTTCCGGGACAGAAGCATTCGAAGATTATACTAAGGCTCATGAAACAGTTCAGTCTGAGAAGAGTACATCAGACGATTCTGTTGAGAAAAGTACTGAAAAGCAAAAAATTACAGTTGAGTTATCTGAGGAATCCAGTATCGAAAGTATTTCCGTTATTCCGGAAGAAAATATCGCCGTACTTGTGCTCAGCACAGATAAGGAAGAAGATCCTGGTGGAATGGAGTCGAAAATTTCTTCCGAAACACCTAGTGAATCAAATGCCATGACTTTTAAAACTGGAATACCACCAAATTTGGTATTCAAAAAGAAAAACAAGCCAATCAGAACAACAACAAATTTCAATTCAGAAGAAGTAACAAGACCTCTTGAAAAAACTACGACTAAACAGGACACAACGACAGTTGCTGATAATGATTACAAGGAGCAAGATGGAGATTATACTTATGATTATTACGATCCTCATGATACTGTAACTCAAGATGCTTATGATACAACTGAGCATATTGCAGACATGAGTGAAACTGCATTTGGTGAAACGGAAACAATTGAAAAATTACAGGATAGCACTCAATACTTTGATACAAAAAATAAGCTGACATTTAAAAACAAGAATCCACAGTTGAAAAATCACCCTACAAGTACTTCACATCAACCACTAAATACAGAAGAATTGCATGATGTCAGATACACGGATAAAACTAGTAAATATGATGTGTCAAAGCCTTTAACGATAACAGAAGTAGATCGCTATACAAAACCGAACAAGTATACAGTGTTTAGTACAAATTCCGATAAGACTACTAAAATACCTGAAAACCAAAAACGCTTTCCAGAATTTAAGCAGAAGCACAGACCTCGTCCCAGCTTTACGCAAACCTATAAAACAGAGCAAGATTTTACCAGGCCAATAACAACTGAACTAAACCTGAAAAATAGGCCAACCATACCTGACGAAATTATTACAACGAAACACTCACACCACACACTTTCGGGCCATAAAAACATACAAGCAACTCGGCCAACCATAAAAACTTCTCAATCAAATCACAAAGTGTCATCTCATCGAAGACATAGACCTGGAAACCCACATTTTATGACAACGGCATCAAAACCATCTTACACAATACCAGAAGATCTAGCAGAAATTTTGAGAACCTTAAGTCAGTCGCAGAAATCTTCATCAACGGAAATAACTAATTCACCCAATTTTTCCCAACACGAAAACTCAACCACAGATTATGCTCAAAAAGAAGATACCGAACCTCCGATTGCACCAGCAGCACCAAAACTCATACATGCAACTGATGGAAGCAATGGTGATTCAGCCACAACAGGACAGACTCTGCCGCCAACAAATCCCGTTTCTCCTGTTCTTAATTTCAATGCTCCAGAAATAATTTTTTCAAATCATGGGCCACTGACAAACAGAAAGCAACCTACTTATATTTATGAACCCGAGCTTCCAGTTATTATAAATAACCACAAAAAGACTTCTATCAGATTCCGACCCCCTATTCGGTCGAGACCCCAAACAACACCCACACTAGAAGATAGCTTTGTAGAAATATCTAACCACCGGCCAACTAACACATATAGACGACCACCCGGCAAATTTCCGACTCTACCGGTTCCACCTGGTAAAATGCCAAATCAGCAAAGTCCAGCAGGTAAACTCCCGAATCAACCAATTCCACCAGGCAAATTCCCGAATCAACCAATTCCACCAGGCAAATTCCAATCATATCCAATTTCAGCTGATAACTTTCCACCTTACCCGGTACCTGTGAGAAATAGACACGAAGAAGGTTTCTACAGAGATCCTCACGTTAAAAATCCCAATTATAAATCACATCATTCCAATGAGGGAGATGGTTACGAATGGTCTAATGATTATGAAGATTATTTGTACGAAGAAAACCAAGAAAACCAAAAACAAAAGAAAGTTTTTAATAACTATGGTACAAAACAAGATACTGAAGGAAGTGCTTTGCAAACTGATCCCATGAATCCAGTTACTCAAAAAACACAAATTACAACTGAAAAAACCGTTTCACCAAACATCGTAACAAGCACAATTCGCGAAGAAACAACAACCATTTCTCCGATTACTGAAGAAACTAAACCAGCAGAAAGAGTTCAGAAAAATGAAAAAACTGAAAGCATACAAGAGATCTCAACGCTGCCCGAAAAGTACAAAACTGAAACAACTAAACAGAATGAACATACAACTACACCAAGACCTAAATCCACTTATTATCTGCCACCTCTAACAACTACTCCTCCAGATTTCTACACGACCAAATCTTTCTCTGGATATGTGACCAATAAGCACAGACTCACGGAAAAGCCAAGAACTGATTTTGAAGCAAAACTCTTTAGGGCAGAAGATGACCATAAAATTCTAGGGTCAGGATACATCGATAATCGGTTCTCTGACTATGGTAGTAAATCCAATCAAGATGACCATAAAATTCCAGGGTCAAGATACATCGATAATCGGTTCTCTGACTATGGTAGTAAATCCAATCAAGATGACCATAAAATTCCAGGGTCAGGATACATCGATAATAGGTTCGCTGACCATGGTAGTAAATCCAATCAAGATGACCATAAAATTCCAGGGTCAGGATACATCGATAATCGGTTCTCTGATTATAGTAGTAAATCCAATCAAAGATTCGAGGAAGAAAAGATAAAAACCTCAACACTTCCTCCCATGAAGTCCTCAGAGTCACCACAAAACGAAGAAGATTCCAAAGAAATCTCAGGTACAGTGAAACCTTAATTTTCCTAACCTCTTTCATTACGGGAACTTGAAATAACCGAAGTCGATTTTAAAACTGAATTTTCTTTCAAATACAGTATTCGTTTAACTAGACATTTGCCGAGTATCGCAAGGATGCTAAAGACGAGTTACAACACGCTAAATATTCTCAAAATTAAAATCAGGGCTTTTGTCGGCAGTACCTAAATCGTAATCTTGCGCTGTTAAGAATCAAATCTTCAGATATGATAATTAGTTAGTGCAGACCATGTTTCAAGTTACGAAATCAGACAAAAAACGTACTTTCTCTGAATGAACCTACATTTTTTCGAAAAAACTAAGATTCTTGGAGTGAAAGTTTTCAACTCGTTAAAAAAATTCTCGAGAAATGATGAAAAAATAAGTAAAAGAAGCAAGAAGCAAAATTAGCATCTAGGAGTCTAAGCTTTCTGCCACTCTCTTGACTAAACTATTAGGACCATGTTTCCCAGATAGTGGATTTGCTCCCTTCTTCATATTTTGAGGTAAAAAATCATAATCCTTTGACAAAAAATGTGTTTAATCAGATAAAGCACATTTTGATGTCTGATTTTGTAACTTAAAATATCGCTTGCACTAACTAATTAGCATATTTGAGGTCACCCCCTTGAACCATTTCGATCAAGTTTTAGCACGTGAAAATCTAATCATTAGACCAAAAGCTATACTGTGTAATACATTGTTTTTTTTTTTTTTGTACAGTGTCCCAAAAAACGGACCACCTTGTATAACTTTTGATCTAATGATTGAATCTTGACGTTCTAGGACTCCATCTTAATGGTTTAAGGGGGTGACCTCAGATATGCTGATTAATTAATGTAGACGATATTTCAAGTTTCGAAATCTAACTCAAAAACGTATTTCCTCTACATAAACATACCCTTTTTTCGTCGGATTCGGATTTTTGACTCCCAAAGGTCCCCAGGNAAGATGACCATAAAATTCCAGGGTCAGGATACATCGATAATCGGTTCTCTGATTACAGTAGTAAATCCAATCAAAGATTCGAGGAAGAAAAAATAAAAACCTCAACACTTCCTCCCATGAAGTCCTCAGAGCCACCACAAAGCGAAGAAGATTCCAAAGAAATCTCAGGTACAGTGAAACCTTAATTTTCCAAACCTCTTTCATTAGGGGAACTTGAATTAACCGAAGTTGATTTTATAACTGAATTTGCTTTCAAGTACAGTATTCGTTTGACTAGACATTTGCCGAGTATCGCATGGATGCGACAGACGAGTTATACCACGCCAAATATTCTCAAAATTAAAATCAGGACATTTGTCTGCAGTACCTAAATCTTAATCTTGTGTTGCTAAGAATTAAATCTTCAAATATGATAATTAGTTAGAAGTAAAATTAGCATCAAGGAGTCTGAGCTTTCGGCCACTCTCTTGACTAAACTATTGGGACCATGTTTCCCAGATTGGGGCTCCACTCTTTATATTTTGAGGTAAAAAATCATAATCCTTTGACAAAAAGTGTGTTTATTCAGATGAAGCACAGTTTGATGTCGTAACTTAAAATATCGCTTGCACTAACTAATTAGCATATTTGAGTTCACACTACATTCCGAACCATTTCGATTATGTTTTAGTACGTGAAAATCCGATCATTAGATCAAAAGTTATACTGTGCAATACATTGTTTTTTTTGTACACTGTACAGTGCGCCAAAAAAACGGTCCACCTTGTATAACTTTTGATCTAATGATTGGATCTTGACGTTCTAGGATTCCATCTTAATGGTTTAAGGGGGTGACCTCAGATATGCTGATTAATTAATGTAGACGATATTTCAAGTTTCGAAATCTAACTCAAAAACGTATTTCCTCTACATAAACATACCCTTTTTTCGTCGGATTCGGATTTTTGACTCCCAAAGGTCCCCAGGGGGTAGCCGCTATCTGGGAAATATGGTTCTAATAGTTTGTTCAGGAGAGTAGTCAAAAAGTTGGACCCCTTGATATTAATTTTACTTATTGTGTATTTCTCCACATCTCGAGAACTTTTTAAATGATTTGAAAAATTTTTCCACACAATTATAAAATTCGCTTATCCAAAAATAATTCAATGCAAAAAATAAGTTTGAATCAATATTTATTATTTTTCATCATTTTGTTATTAATAGTCGAAAAATTTTTTTACATTATTTTAAAGTATCTAATTTTACATGGCAAAATAGGAAATTTGAAAGAAATTTGTTGAATAGTTCCAGAGAAATTGGATAGGTCGGTACTTTATTTACACAGCACTAGAGTTGCCCAATGGGCGGTCAGGGAAACATCCCCGAGGATGATCCGAAAACATGCCATCGCAATTTTAATCCTCTGCAGAGGGAATGGCTCCCCTGCTTTGGTAGCCCGACGACCTCCGTGCGAAGTTGAGCACTTTACGGTAGAACAATTTAGCGAAGACCGATACCTCGCACCCTCGATCCTTACGCAAGCTAATCAAAGTGGTCATCCACCCGCTTACTGACCGCAGCCAGTGATGCTCGACTTCGGTGTTCTACTGGAAACCATGTCTCCACGGTCAAATAGATATGGTGGTTGAAATTGATATAATTATCTTAATGCTGTTAAATTTTAATAGACAGGATTATAAAAATAAACTTGATGTTCGAGACTGATAAATAAATGTGATTTTAAAGATGATTTTATTTACAAATCTCAATTTTTTATAGCTGATATGGTCATGACTTCTGCGGATATGTAAAAAAAAATTTTTAACTAATTTTTGAAATTTTTGAAAAAGTGCATAATTTAGGTCCTGATATTTTTCATTTTTCAGATGTCTGTTTTGTTGATGGGAGGTATTATAACAGTGGAGAAATAATTGTCAAAAGCAATCCCTGTGAAATGTGTAGATGCTTCTATGGTCACCCACTTTGCCAAGTACAACAATGTCCAGCACCTCCAGGACCATCATGCGTCCTCGAGTATCTTCCAGGCTACTGTTGTCCTAGAGTTACTTGTGGTATTTTTATTTCCAATATTCGATTAATAGTTTTTCGTACATATCTGCTAAAGTTTAGACTTAACTTTTTTTAACGCTGTACTTACTGTTGCTTACTAGAAAACTTTTTTTACGAAAACAGATCGAAACAAGCAGCTTAAGTAAACTCAAATCATATTTAATTTGTATTAAAAATTTATTATAAAAAGCTTAAATAAACTTAATGTTTTAGATTTTTTTTGATAATTAATTATAAATGCTTAATAAGCTCAATTTTCATTCAAAATAAATTATAAAAATATTAAATAAGCTCAGTGTATATATTTTTTTATTAAAAATATTATTAAAATCGAAAACAATTATTTTTAAGAAAATTTATTTCATTCAAAAATTTACTTTTCTATCTTGTTTATATAAAATGCTAAGTGCATGGAGAATTCAGGTCTAATATAGACCTCACTTCAAATTTTTTACTCAAGTCCAACCAAAAAAAAAAATTTTTTTTAATAGTTAACCTGCTTAATATCTGTTAGTCAGCTCATTATATTGTTAAATATTATAGCAACCGATTAAATATTTCAAAATTTAAAACTATGCTTTTGCAAGGGGTCCATAATGTCAATGCAAGTGTTTTGCTGACGTCAAACAATCTTATGAACTAATTTAAAGAAAGAAATTAATTCGATAATTTAAACATTTAGGGATACAAACGGATCCAGAAGAACCTCCAATAACAGCTAGTCCTCCAGAACCAACTAGCCAAGAAATAAAACCAACCATTGACGAATCAGATGACAAATGGAAACCATTGCCACATGGTCCTGTTGTGAGACCCTACGATGGAACCCTGAAGACGGAACTCTCGTTCAATGGAAATAAATATGTTCACCAGAACTCAGATTCACATGTAGAAATCATCACAAGGCCTCAAATATATGAAAACTTTTACACTGATAATAAAATCAAAGTCACAGATGCTCCAACACCGGAAACGACAACATCAAGCACGACGACGCCAATAAGCACGACGACTCCAATAAGCACGACGACACCAATGAGCACGACGACGCCAATAAGCTCGACGACGCCAATAAGCTCGACGACGCCAATAAGCACAACGACCATTGGTAAGGAATAGTGATGGGTGATATAAGAAATTTGATATCGCCAAAAAATATTAATATTTTGTGACCTATCGTTTTTTATACTTGAGTAATTAATATTATTTTTACAGTAGAAATACACTGATCGAAATACACTTTTACACAGATGAAGTCAGTCAATTAAAAAAAATATATTAAAACGGAACCACCAACACCAATAATGCACGACAACAGTTGGTGAAAATTAGTGCTGGATGCTGTCGGAATTTTAATACCGGGATATATCGTTAGGAAAATCAATATTTTATAATATGTCATTTTTTTTCTTTTAAAGTCCTATTACTTTTACAATCGAAACTAAACTTTTACACTAATATTAAAGTCGAAGTCACTAATTTTCCTAAACAGGAAATAACAACACCAATAAGCCCGACGACCATTGGTAAGAAAGTTCTGGGTGATATATGAATTTTAATATCGTGCTATATCATCAGAAAATATCATTATTTCACGCAATAGCATGGTTTTTATTTATATATAAGTAATTTATCTAATTTTTAACTTGACAATACTTTTGTTAGTGGAAGAAAAACATTTATTTGAACATTTTCTTAAAAATTCTTACTACTCTTTGCGTTAAAATATCAATGAATAATTATAAAATTATAGCAATATATAGACGAGGAATTGAGACTTGACATTCGCAATGATAGCCTTTTTAATAATTATTAAGATATTATATTCCATATTCGGTAATTATCATCTTGAAAATAATCACTATGTTATCATTGTTGATAATTATCTTGCATTAACTACAATTATTCATCTCAAGGCATGTTTTTCACAATATACTGAGAATGGAAATCACGACACTTAAAAAATATCGATTTTTTAAGATACATCTATCCCTTCAAACAGACAAAGAACACGTCTGAATAACAAAAATTTAAAATTTTAGAAAATTCTAAGCAAAATTATGTACAATTTTTTAACTAGTAAAAATAATGATTATGTATAATTATTTTACAATTATAAGAATTAACATACTTAAAAATTTCTCCTGTCTAATTAATACCAAAAAACAAAAAAATATATATGTAAACTTCAAAATTTCGAATTTCGATTAGGAGCTTTTTTAATTTTCGACCCTTAATGTACATATTTTGGTAATAATTTTTGACAAGGATTCTGGACTTAAGCTTTCCTCTAAAAGCTAAGGTGGGACATTCTTTTAGAAGGAAAAAAGCCTGTTGCACCTAAAAGCCTATCTAACTTGAACAGTTACAAAGCCGGGGGATTCATGGTGGGCAGGAATCACTTTCAATGGTCGCACTGACTTGCGTGTGTTTCCTAGGGAGATTCTTACTGTAGAGAAATGTCAGAACGAAATCCTTAATCCACATACCCGTCCATGTGCCGCTACTATTTTTAATAACTTAAGTCTGATGGATGGTAATGCCCCACTTCAAAGATTTCTGCTTGTTGCAGAGAAATTTAAAGTAACGGTTTATAATCAATGGAATGATCCCCTCAATCTCCAGACCTGAATTCACGATCACCTTAGCAGAGAAATTGCTATGTTGAATCATCCATTCTCTTTACATCAACTGAACCAAGAATTGATTCGCTTATGGCCCCATTTAAGAGTCGGAAAGCGTAATTGGCTGTATGGAAGTCGATGCAACCAATACGTTGCAAGTAGGAGAAGATTAGTTGTTGTTATTGTAGAACATTTACATCGCACTAGAGCTTTACAATGGGCTATTGGCGACGGTCTGGGAAACATCCCTGAGGATGATTCGAAGACATGCCATCTCAATTCTGATCCTCTGCAGAGGGGATGGTACCCCCGTTTCAGTAGCCCGACGACCTAAACGTGAAGTCGAGCATTTTAAAGTAGAGCAGTTTAACGAGGACCAAGACCGCACACCCTCGGTCCCTACGCAGACTGATCCAAGTGGTCACCCACCCGCACACTGACCGTAGCCAGTGAGGCTTGGCTTCGGTGATCTGCTGGGAACCGTGTCTTAACAATCAGTCCACTGTGGGACGCAAGTAATAGAAGAACCTTCCTAAATAGAACGAATCTTTGGGTTACTATAATAATTAACGTTTGGATTAATGTATAGTTATATGTCGCATATAAGAACTGTCTAGTACAAATTTCATTCAAATTTCTTGTCTTCATATTCATTCATTTTCAAATTGGACACAGAAAACAGGTTGTACCTTTAACTTTTAAAGGACAGCGTATATATTAAGTAGGTGGTTATATACAACACCATTCATACTATATATGAATTAGAAATATATGTGTCAAATGTGTTTAATTATTATTTCAGCTCAAACAACAACCGAATTAGATACTACAACCTTTCCTCCAGAAACAACAACAATTTTTGAAACAACTACAATAATAACAACAACATCACAGCCAACAACAGTTACAGAAGAAACCACACCTCCAACAACAACGCCCATTCCAACAACCACCGAAAGTCCGACAACGGCTATTACAACAGCAGAAATCGTAGTAGAGGATGAAAATAAAATTTTCAATTCTGTTTCAACTGATGATAGCGACGAGCTGCCTCGAAATAAGTCCTCCGAAATCCACGACAATTCTAGTGGCGTTCGTAAAGTTCTGGATAACTTGATCACATTGCCACCTTTTAAAGTCGAACTATCTCCAATAAAAGATACTGATATAAGCACCGTTTTGCCTGTGATACCAGCTCATCCGACAACCATCAGTCCAACTGAGTCATCAATTGGTGATTTAGTGACACTAGATGGTATGGATATTGGTAGTCTACCCACTGAACTAAGTGGAAATCTAAAGGTTTCAGGTAAGAATGATATGATCGAAAGTAACTTTAAATTAATAGGAAACTCTAAATTAATTTTATACTTATTGGATAGTAATTGTTTAGATTAAAATATTATTTAAGGCACAATTGCTGCTAAGTTGATACACTAACACTACTCTACAATACAATAATGGACAAGATACTTTCAGAGCCGGCCAGACGGTCGAGCGGTTAACGTGCCTGACTGCCAAGCCAATGGCTGCGGGTTCGAATCCCGCTCAGGGCATGGATGTTTCTCTCTGTGTGATGTGCGAATGTGGCCCACCCTATAAACGGGTATCTGTGGCAGTGTGGCGTGGGTAATGTTCTCCTTGACTTAGGTTCACAGGTACCCACTGGGTAACGTTAAATGAGTAATACTTCCAGCATCTTCCTAGGTGAAGGACGTAAACGTCCAGTGCCAGCCAGATAATTAGTTCATGCGAATTTTCATACTCAGTAATAAGGTTTTAAACTTTCAACGCTTTCACGGACCGACAATAAATTGCGAAAGAAAACAAGTATTTTTGAACACTCTATGCCAGAAAAATCAAGAAATAAGCTTGTAACTTATACCAATTACTTTGGCTGTTATTTGCAATAATTACATACAGTTTCATAAACCTTGCTCAAATTTTTATGGAGATATGGACATTATAAAAAAAACTAATTTCTTGTGTTTCCTTTTGCGATAACTTTAAAAATATACAATGAAATTAAACAAAATGTTTAGACCTATTTAAAAACAAATTATTGTTTTAAAACTTGAAAAAAATTAGTTAAAAATTGCGCAAGATATAACTATTTAAAGTAGTTCTTTTACATTGGGCATGCGCAAAAAAAAAAAAACATTTAAAAAATCTTGTTTATAATTTCGTTGTCAATCGCATTTAGCAACTAATAAAGTCTTATTTAAATTTCTTAAAAATTTAAAGAGCAATTTTCAAACAATTTTCTGAGTAGTTTTTGAATTGTGCTCATGATGATATGGGTTTTCCACAAATTTCATTTTCTAATATTAAACAAGATTTATTAAATATGACACCGATATAGTCTTTTCTTTCCCTCCTTACACCAGCACAGTTTGGTGTCCGGACGATTATTGTAAAGTATTATTTGTTATTAAATTTTGTCTTAAGGTAGAAAATGAAATTTGTGGAAAACCTTATATCATTTAGAGCTTTTTTAAAGAAGTACAAAAACTACTTAGAGAATTAATTGAAATACATTAAATTTTTAAGATATTCAAATCAGACTTCTTTCATCAATTGTAAAATATAATTCACTACAAAATTATGAAAAAATGTTTTTTCTTTTTTTTCCTCGCATGTGTATAATATAAGCTTCTTCTATACCTCTTTTCCAAAAAGGAGTCCATAAAAGAGGCATTTTTCCAAATTAGCTATCTCGCTGGGAGCGAAATCAGAAAATAAACGGAAGGTAAATCTTCGCCACCTAACTTGTCGGAAATATAGGAGTTAAATGAATCACGTGACTCTACCTTAGCACCACACGCGTTAATAGTAAAATCTTCTTCCGGTCGCGAGTACCACTGTACGAAGCGTATTCTGTGCTAAGTACTCTCACCGATATTTTAATAATGCTATTCTCTGGTGGTCACAAGAAGCTCCGGTTGTTTCCATGCTATCACGTCTGTTTATTTGTGTTATTTGTGTCCGTTGCCTTGCATCTGTTTCTTTTTCAAATTAATATTGAAACACTGAGACATATTTTAACAAGATTCATATAAGGTTTCGTAATAATTTTTTGGGGTTGACGAATGTTACCGAATGGGGATGGAGCCCACTAATAATTTTTAAAAAAATAGAAATAAAATTTTCTTACATTTTTAACGAGAATTTTTTTAAGACTTAACGTTTAATTTCAGGATGCAATGTTTATGGAAAATACTACAAAATCAACGACAAAGTTGCAGCTCTTAACGAACCCTGCTCAGAATGTATTTGTTCGGCTGATGGAATCTCCTGCAACGCCATCTGTTGACAAGTGGGATAGGATCTTAAATGCTGGCTGCTTCGATTCAACAAGTTAACATCAAATTTCATCAAAACGTGGATGTTTTATTACACGCACTTAAAAATGACTCGATACAGAAAATGATTCTAAAAATAACATTAAGGGAATAATATTTCATACTGAACTATTAAACAATGGGACAAATATTGGTTTTAAATTCATGTTGGTGTCCCACCGGAAGTCATTGAACACTTCTCATCTGTGTATTTGTTACTGTAAATGCCCGAAGTCTAGTAAATCCTATGTTTTATGAACAAACCTAGGATTTATCAAAGTGGCTTGGTAACTACTAGGCTTTAACGCAAAGGCTAGATAAAAGACAGGAATTAAATAATATTATAGCTGACTTCCGACTTTTACCAAGCAGCTTTGGTAAAAGCTAGGTTTTACTGGCAAAACTCATTATTTACTGGACTCCTCTCGTAAATCCTATGTTTTGCGAGTAAAATCGAAGATTTAACGAAGAGGATTGGTAAATACTAGACTTGGTAAAATGTCGAAATGAAATCATAAAATAGCTTACTTCTGACTCTTACCAAGCCACTTTGGTAAAGGCTAATTTTTACCACTAAAACCTAGGATTTACCAGACTTCTGGTTTTTACTGTAACACATCCTCTACCGGTGGTTTTAGCTATCGTTTTTCATCACCCATACAAATGAACTAATTGTAAATAATATTATGTCATCCATCGTAACTCGTGTATTTATTTTTATTATTTAAAATAAATTCTGTTTTGACATTGATGGCTGTTTTTCTTTCTTTGAATAAAAACAAACAATGTAATTTTAGTATACATTACGGTTACCGCCACAGTGTAGAAATCAGTTATTCTACAAATTATTTAGCTTATGTACAAATTAACGATAGGGTGATCCGTTAAAATTGCCAAAAAGTTCATTTCTTAAATTATCTATGTAATCTGCAATCTACCTAGATGATCTGCACATTATCTACTAGGCACTCATTCAAGTGAAAATAAGAGCTTTGTTGGAACAACATCAACGTTTCTACACGCTTAAATTAATAAAATTTTATTAATTTTTTTTTCTATGTAAAGACCAGTTTATATAGGAAAAAACTAAACTCATAACCTGTTTTTTTTCTGTATATTCTACAAATTATCTAGCTCATGTACAGATTAACTATACAAATTAACTAATATCCGTTAAAATTGCGAAAAAAATTATATCTTTAATTATCTATGTAATCTGCAATCTACCAGGATCAGTGTTTCCCAAACTTATGACTTTCGTGTACCCTTTCTAAATTTTTCGCAACGCTGTGTACCACTAATAAAAAAAATTAACGTATTTCTTACTATAAAAAAATTACAATAAAGTTACAAATCACAACTGGCTGTTGATACCACTAATTATTAACTGTTAACTCTGCAAAAAAATAACCAATAGAAAAGTACGTAATCATCAATTTTCATGGATAGCTTTATTTTTAAATAAAATTTTTTGAAATTTTCGTTTGTATTTCGCTTAATAACGCGAACCCCCGCTAAACTGCTCCCGTACCCTTGGGGGTACGCGTACCACACTTTGGGAAACACTGACCTAGATGATCTGCACATTATCTACTAGGCAATCATTAAAGCGAAGAAGGATCTTTGTTGGAACAACATCAACGTTTCTGCATGCTTAAATCAGCAAAATGTTATATTTTTTTATATGTATATAAAGGTCATGTTTTTATGGTTCAAGATCTTGGGCCAAGATTGATTGAAATTGATAGAAACTCGTTTTTCTTGGGGTTTGGATCGTAAAAATGATCATCCATCTTATTAGTCCAAGCTCATGGAAGATAGTATGTCCTACTTTCCATCCAAGTTATCTTTTCATAACAAATCAGTTTCTGAAGTTTCATAACGTCAGTGAGCAGGCATATGATCATTTATTTTGTTGTTCATTTTCATATATTCTAATCCAAATTTGGGTGGATCAATTTGTGTTATTATGATTTGATTTTATTTTATTTTGTAACTTTGCCTTCGTATAAAAATGATGCAGTGACATTCAAATACTTTCGTAGTGTCAACAAATAATCCAAGTCCTCAGATTTAAGAACTTTGACCGTATAAACTGGTATTAAAAAAATCAAATTACTGCAATCAACAATCAGCACATTATTTGACAGAATCAATTATCAATCACTTATACAAAGAACTATTATACAAAGAATCAAACGTTTTTAAGTATTATTACAATTAAGGAATTAATATAATGCACTTTTTTTCAATGTCAAAAGAATCAAGCTAATAAATATAATAAAAAAATCAGTAAATTAGTTGATATAATTAATTAAATAAACTTTTATTCTTTAGCCATACAATAACCGTTCGTGTGCACATTACCTAGGTAAATAACGGAATACACTTGATTCCGCTCTTAAATGGATTTCCCTATTTAATCTGTGAATTAAATAGGGAAATAGGGCTACGTAATGGGCATATTTACAGCTTACAAATTTTAGCGATAGCATAAGGAATTAGATACTTAAAATGGAAGGGGAAAAAAAGTGTTATATAACAAATGCTTTAATTGTAATGCAAAGAGTCGCGGTGGCTCAGGGCGTTCTCAGAACGATCAGAGCTTTCGCCATCCAATGAGATAAGCCAAGTTCGAATCTCAGCGATGGTTGGTCGATACGAATTCCGCATCCGGCTTGCACCGACCACAGTGCTGAGTGGAATATCCTCAGTGGTAGACGGATCATGGGTTAGAGTCTTCTCGCGTCAGCCTAACCTTGGGGGTTCTCGTGGTCTTCCCCTCCATGTAGCGCAAATGCAGGTTAGCAAAAGCCAACTCATGTTAATATTAATAATTAAATAATTAATTGGTTAAACATTTTATCTTTTATGGGCATTATTTAAATATACTTTATTGATGTATTTTTCTTTACCCTAACTCCACCTACACCACGTCATTCACTCAATCCCACCTTTTTAAAAAGAATTCCTTCCTGGTAATTACGACTCTCATATGCACTCAAATTTTATACTCATATCATAAAAGCATTTTCAATTGCTGATTTTATTTTATTACTGATTATATTATAAATCGGGAACGACGTTGGCCCACCTAATATGGTGCCCCTGAAAAAGAGGCCAACAAAATCGCTCTGTAATTGCCTGAATTAACGGATGTTAACACAGGTGGGCATTGGAGAAAAAAAAAGAAATATAAATCATTTGGTATTCCCTTCCCTTCATCTTCTCAAGGGCCTATTTCTAATGCGAAGTCATCATAACAGATGGCAGCACTAAAAGCTTTTGTAAAAGCACTAAAAGCTTCTTTATTTTTTTAAAGAAAAAATAAAGTCGTTTAATATTATTCGGTTAAATTTTTTTTTATAATTTTTAAATTTTACTCAAACTTTTCACAACCACGTAAAAAATTTCATAAATTTTTCATAAATCCACATATAATTTCATTTTATTTATATTTTGAAATTTGTTCATTACAACAATAATAAAAAAAGAAAAAAATTAAAACTTTACTTTGGGAACAAATTTAAGTGTTTAGAATTTTTCACCCTATCCTTTCTTTAAATTTTTCATAATTTCATACTTTTTTTTGAGAAATGGAAGTTCACAAGAATATTGACTTCTTTTCTTTTGCTTCATATAAATTATTTAAATATTATGCATAATTGTTTAAATAAAAACCATAATTCAATGCTCACGTAATTAAGGATACTTAGCAACAAAAGTAATTTTCTACTTAGTATCTATCCATCAGAGATGTTCTCCCAAGGTTTAAAAGAGATTTTTGCTGGAGACGTAGCACAGTGGGCCAGCATCCCAGGTTTCGTGACCAAAATTAGTATTTCGATAAAATTTGTTTCAAAATTTGGGGGGTTTCATTTAGGGGTTTTTATGTGCAGGCAAATTGAATTCATAGTTAAAATTTAGAAATACACTAAAAATACCCAAAAAAACGAAATGGCGGCTGAAATATGGTGAGCAAAAATTAAAAAAATAATATAGTGCGTTTGAATAATTAAATATAGCAATGAAAATATAATAATTTTCGTAATTTTATATTAAAAATGAAAAGCAAATTATATTTCCGAAGTAATATTACAAAATAACGCGAATTAATTGCAAAATAACGCGAAAACATGAAGAAAAACACATTATTCTTGTTTTTCGGTATATTTAGTTCACCTTTGCAGTACGGGCAAAATGGGGCAGGTTTTTTCGAAAGAAGAAACATCAAACAAGACTACAAAAAAAAGTTTAGCTAATTACCTCTACCTCGTGGAACTTTTTGGAACTAAGTTTCGAAAGTCATTCAAACATTGGAGAATGTCAAATGATAAGATATAAACTATAAGTTTGTCAAGAGTATTAACTAATCCAACAAATTGAAAAATTGTACTATAATTTCAGACTAATGACTCTGATAAAAAATGTAACAGTAAGGTGAAATTCCTATATATATTTCTGAAATAAAAATGTCAAAGTTACATTTAAAAAAAAACATTTTTTAACATATTTTCCATTACGTTGTACTCTCGTCGGTCCAAAAATTAAATTATAATGTTTGGAATGTTTATGAATACTTAATTTGGGCTATATTAAAACTGCCTGCACATATTTTAGTTGAAAATTTAATTTTTGACTTTTGGCCAAAAATCATGGTTTTCTGGCCCACGATGCATCGTTTTGAATATAAAAATAAGTGAAGTCAGAAAAGGATTGTTTTATATGGTATGTTTCGTGTTTAAACAATTCTTAAATATCCAACACGCTTCTAAAAAATGTTAATAGGAAAGTAGGCTTAAAGATTTAAAACATAATCTTTAGCCACTTGTTGATGAAAACAAATCAAATTTTCGAAGCCAATGTAGTCATTTAATAGTTGTCAAAACTTATGTTTATTTTTAGTTAAATCGAGTTGAGTATTCTAAAGATAAGCATTTCTAGGAACAAAAACGTTTTAAAATACATTTTTTCTTAAATTTGTTTTCTTTTTTTAGCAAATTTTACCTGTTTTCTTATAGAAAATTTAAAGCAATAGCAAATGTGCAACCAAGCAATATAGAAAAAGTGGAAAAAGAATAAAATAAATGTTTAAATAGGAAAGCATTTTCAGTTTTATATTTAATATGTTTAAAGAAGAATTTTCAGACGTGAAGCGTTTTATGATTCGAAAACTCGATTAGAACGCTGAAATAGAACATCTAAGTTGATAGATTCTCACATTTTTAACTTATGTAACCTAGAAGAAGTTAAAATCGACAGTATTTTTAAAATGGAAGAAATTAAAACGCTTCCGTAAACCTATGCTCAACATATTTTTTTTTCATCTCTAAAAGCGTGGGTGTTACATTGAGGTAGTATTAATAAAAACACTAAAATATTTATAATTAAATTTAAAAAAAGAAATATCTCCAACTCAAAATTTTAAGTATAACTATTTTATAATTTAATTTTTAATGATTTTATTACTTTTTTCAATAATATAAATAACGATATTTAATTTCTAATAAACATGTCACATTAAATAAAAGTAGTTAGTTTCTTAGAAAATAATTTGATAAAAACATTTTTTTGAAATAATATATTCTATTACCATGAGAACATCGATATGAATTCCATCACCTTTTGTCTTGTCATCGTAAGCGAATGAATCAAGCGTTGACGAAGTGCTCAAGACATCAAGCGTTGACGAAATCTTTATATTACTCAGGCTATAATATGCTTTTAAGCTTATTATACTTTGATAAAATT